TTCAACTGAATCTTCCCCTGAAAGTCCCTGATTTTCCACCTTTGCCTCTGGAAGGGTTAGACAGAAGGTCTCTGCATGACTGAATTATACTTTCAGAGATGATGGGACAAGGACCTTAAAAGGCAACAAATGGGCAATACTCTGCTGAGCATTTTGCTGCTGCTGTGAATTACACCTGAAGTACCCCAAGCTTTAGCAATTGCCCTTTTAATTTCTGCATACAGAATTAAAGACCCAGACACAGGCAACCCTCATTCCTCTTTTCTGGGCAATCCTACAGGACATAGGCACTACCTCTGATTGCCAGCAGAAGCAGCAGCCAAGACTGCAACCATAAGAGATGGAAAAATGATCATTGCTTTTTTGTGATATAGGGTAAACACTCTAGAAATCATTTTCATAATTAGGTCAAGGACTGAGACTGCTGCCAAGCAGGAACAAGACTCAACCACTACCTTTAGGGGGTGCATTACAGGGCCAGGAAGCTGTTCTCGGGAAACCTAGCCTGGTATTCCTCACTTGCATCAATCCAGTGCTGAGTATTTTCTCAGAGTATTAGGACACCCTAAAGGTACCAAATGTAAAGTAGTTCTAACAAAAGTAGCAGGATGTTTTGTTTTCTGTGTGCAGTGCCAGATGAAAACCTGATACAGGGATATAGTCGTATATAGTGTCATCTAGAGTTTTTCCCCAGGTCAGGTTAATATTTTCTTCTCCAAAATCAAGATTAATTTAGAGGTTCTTTGTTAATTTCTTAACAAAGACAAGTCTGTGTCTTTAAGTGGCCAAAAGTGCTTCCTACAGTCTAAGTTGAATCTGCTTCTCTTTCTTCAGTGTTTGCTGTATCTGGAGTCCATGTTATGGCTGTGGTAGACCTTTAAATACAGCACTGAGATGTGGTTCTGGGTGCAACTGGGGTAACAGTTCATTCTCTTTCTTAGGTGCTACCCAGTGGAAATTTGGCAGATGAGCCTGTTTTCCACAGAGAGCCTGATGCATCTGGTCTGCCAGGCAGAAGAGGTGGATGAACAAGGCATCTTCAAAGGTGAATAGAACCAATTATGCAGGTGACGGCATTTCTAGCAGACCAACATCAGTCCAGCACTGCTCCCCAATATCTGTCTTGCTCTTGGAGTAACAGAGGTTCATCAGTTGAGAACTCAGACATCCGCTAAGCCCAAGCCAACATGAAGAAGAAATTAGTTTGGCTGTAGTGCATGATGTAGCAAACACTCCTCAGGCTGTCTCGCCTCTCTATCCAGATTGTAAAAAATGGTATTAATTTTAGCTCTACCATTATTCCATATTTATTGAAGATGTGGGACTTGTGCAACACTTTTTCTTCTGTTTATTCCCATTTTCTCATTAAAAATTGAAGCTAGGCTGCACACTAGAATTAAGTGTGTTGCTCTGAAAGGCCAAACACTGCTTTCTCTTCTGGCAGTGACAAAATTCCCATTAGTTTTATTGGCAGAGCACTGAGCCCTAAAGCTAAAAGTAGCTCCATGAGTGACAGAACCATTGCATTCAATATGAAATGCTGCTCCTGATGCAGAGTTGAGTTTCTTTCTTTGTTGTCATTTGTGAAAAATAATAATGATCTCTGCAGATGCCATCTGTGTAGGTCTGTGCCTTCCCTCCAAACCCTTCTGCAACTCGGATTGTTTGGCCACCACCACAGAAATGCCAATAAGCCAAAATGGGCACATTTAAGCCACAGGCAGTCAGGGTTACATGGGGAAAGAGATAGGCTCAAGGTCAGTTCAAAGTTTGGGTGCCGAGGGAGAAGATATATAAAGGAGTCCTCTTTTCAACAGTCCTGGGACATGGAGGATTCTTCTTTCAAATTACAAGACAGGAAGATTTAAGGTGCATTTTCTGGTTATCTCATGCTATTTTTCTTAGGAAATCAGCTTCACCTGCAAAGCTAAATCTTGAGAAAAGAAACATGATGTTTTCTTTCCAGATAAATTGTTTGATCAGTTCAGAAAAAAACCCAAACCATCACTCTGTGACAACTCTTATGAGTCTGTCATGTACCTGTAATTTAGTGTCTCTCAGAAGGACCCAGATGATGAAATTCAGAGACTGCAGAGGAGCGTCAGCTTGAACTTCTAAAGAAAAGTTTGGGAAAAAAAACCTTTAAAATACAAATAAAGTGTAGGTAAAGTAAAGATGGAAACCTAAAGACTGAATTAAAAAAAATAGCAACAAACTATCTAAAAACAATCTTATGCTTTTTAAAATAAAATCTCTGGCTTTTGGAGCTGCAGTTATGATTTTTGATGCTTGTAAATAATTGCTATGTAAATATAATATTCATGGCATCTGCTTGTCAGTAACACCAGCTCTTTGTTAAGCACTCATATCTTCCTGTGTTCCCCGTGGCAAATATGCAGACAGTAGAATGTGTGCTAAAAGTGGCAATTCAAATGTTTCTGTTAGGTGCTGGATTTAGTTGTGGCAGGACAGCTGACTGGATAGAAAGCCCTGGACAGCAAAGCCTGATCCCTTTGAAGCTGACACCTTAGTACGGCTATTTTTCATCTCCTTTCTGCTAAACTTTTTGATGGCCATAGCTCTTGGATCAGATGAGGGTGTTCATGGTCTAACACTCTCCAGCACACACCACCACACTGTGGTAACTCCTCCACAAAGTCCTCCTGCAAAGCTTCACCCAGAGAAAACAACTCTCCCTTTCTTTCCTCACTTAGGGCATTGGTTGGGCTCCAGACTAATCTGCAGATTAAATCTAGGCAGTCAAAACTTACAGCCAGCACCTCACCCATGTTTGCAGGCTTGTTTAAGACATGAACTCTGTGCAAAGAACTTCTTGAAACCTACTGGTAAGATCTAGCCCCACAGAAGGTTTCCAAATGTCTAATTATCTCATTTAAACCTCCTTCTGAAATAACTTTATTTCTAAATTATGAAGAGGTTTAATAACAGCTTTCAGCTTCATTAACTGTTTTATATACCTGGAATTAACAAAACCCACAAAAATCTTGATTAATTGCCCAGCAGTCTTGTCTGACACAGGGTAGGGTTTATACCAGTGTTAAAACCTTTCTGAGAAAGTCGATTTTTACATGCGGTCAACGTCTACTTTGTGAAAAAACAGAAAACCAATTCTATGTTGTATTCCTCCTTTTCCGAAAAATTTCACGGAGCAGCAATTTGGCTGAAGAGTGCAGCGATGCGTTCAACTAGAACGGAACCCTTTAAAACTGTGTGAAAACTGCAGCTTGACAGTATTCCACACATAACTATCCAAGGTCAGAATTTAACATAATAGCCACACTTTGTTAACAAACAGCTCTTCTTCTGATGTGGAAATAGCATGAGATGAGTTTTAAAATAGAGCAGCACGAGCGATGGCTATGCACATGGTTTCTAAAGCTTTATGCTACTGTCCAACACCCCTGCATTTGAGATGGTCAGCACAAACTGGATTCCTTCTTAAATAGTCTGTTTTACATGCAAAATTCTGAACTTTTTATATTCAAAAGCCTTGCTCCAGTCAACATACATTTGGGGGGGGGTGAGGAATGGAAAATGAGCCAGTAATGTACTGCCACTAGCCATTTGGCCAAACTGACCAATCCATTTAAGAACATGAGTGACTTCCAAGGACACCCAGCACAGTGTTAATGTTGAAATTTTAAGACATTTTCTTTGACAAGAAAGTGAAGATAAAAGTAGCAAGACGTCAAAATGAATGAATTGTGAATTACCATTTAATATTTCAGTGAAGCGACATATGAATAAAGACAAGGGTGCCTTGCTGCTAAAAATAACCTCTTATTTTTAATGCTGATCTGCAGCTGTAATGAAAGTGTTCAGCATTTTTCAACTCTGTCAATTTTTAAATCCAGCAGGTTATGTCAACCTGAGAGAAGAAAAACTCTCTCTGACTTTTAGACAAAATGTAATTTCTTTCTAACTTACTTTTGATTTTGGAAACTAAGTATATCCTCCAAACCAAAGGCAAATCAAAGGCAAGCTATCACCTTGGTATTATGCAAATAACGGAGCAGTGAAGAGAGCCCCTGGGAGATAAGAAATACTTAGTGTTAGGACCACTTCAAAGAGCGTAGGATCATCATTCTGCTCTATTGTACAAGTGGCTTTTCACATGTAAATCTGCCATGATTAAATTAATATTTGTGAGCTTAACTCTGATCCTTTCTCCTTTACTTAATGAAGGACTAATTCCACTGAAGCTGAAGGAACTACACACATGTGACCGATCCCAGAATTAGGCTCCATACATGGTTGGGATGACTTTGATTTTTTGGGGGGCTCTGTTGAGCCTGCCTTCCCAAAGCTTTCCCTTCTTCCACAGATGCCCCTGCAACATTAAAAGGTTGGTTAAAGTGAATTTACCAGTGGGAAAACATGCATTTATATTTCGACTGGGGTAGAAAGAACATCTTCACTCAGGAGCAAAGAATATAGCAAATGTCATATTTCCAACAGGCCATTGATATTTTGGCAACGGTTTTGGCACAATTTGGTACAGTGTCCAAATATATTTGTCACTGCTAAGTAGTCTGTTCCAAAAGTTTTGGAAAAAATAAAGATCTTAGGCACAGAAAAGAGAGAGAATGCAACAATGTAAGGGAAAAGTGAAAAGAAGGGAACTGTGATATCTTGTTTGAATGACAAGTAAACTTTCTGTGTCTTCACTGCAAGAGAAAAAAGGGATTTATGACTGAGAGGCATTTCAAAGGACCTGTCACAGCACAAAAATCTAGCAGAGACAAGGTATAGGTCTCTGATACAGCTACTCAAGGGAAGCTTTATATCTTTATCTCACTAGTTACAGTGAGATTAAAATACCCACAGTGCCTTGTATCTGCAAAGACTATGTGTTAACACAGCTGTCTTGATGTCAAAGAACATCTTTGGTTTTCCATAAGAATAGCTATGAGACCAAGTACTTTTAAGCATTCTATCAGATTATCCAGCTATATTATTTTTATAGGCTGAGGATTTACCAAGCAGATACTTCAGAACATAAACTTGGCCTGCAGGGTAGAGATGAGGTGGAGGTTTTGTGGTAAGTTCATATTTGTACAGTTCTTGTCCTATCTTCTCCAGCACGCAGCAACTGTTCACACCCCTAAAAAAAGATGCCAAAATTCACTGTCTTGCCAGATAACTCTCATTTATTCTTTCTGTTCTTTTTCCTTCACACCCCACTACTTTTCCAGCACCCATTCTGTAGCTCTGTAAATAAACAACATAACAAAATGGCTTTTGTACTCAGGCTTAAAGAATTTCAGTTAATAGATGTAATTAGATGTAATATTGACTAGATTTAATTCCAGAGCACAGCAGTCTTAGAAAAACAAGTCTTGTTATCCACAGGACCAGTTCAAGATGAGTACAGTATCACAGAATCACAGAATCAAGTTGGAAGGGACGTCTGAAGGTCATCTGGTCCAACCCCTCTGCTCAAGTGGGACCACACAAGGTACAATTGCTGAGACCATGCTCAGACTGCTTTTGATTATCTCCAAGGATGGAGACTCCACAACTTCCTTGTGCAACCTGTGCCAGTGCTGGGTCACCCTCACAGTAATATAGAGGTAGCTCACTGAGAACCATTTATTGGCCCTATGGTCAAAGGACGACTTCTGCTTCCAAAATATTATTCAGACCTCCTGGAACCATGACAGCTGCAATGCAAGGTTTTTTATGACAAATGGAACTTATTCCCAGTGTCCACTGTGAATTATGGATCTGCAGGAGTCAAACTGGTCAGACACCTATATCTACAGAAATACGTGAAACTTTTATCCTGTATTGTAAGTCCACAGCCATTACTGTGCAAAACTTCTAGTTGTCCTATGGAGTTTCAAATTCCTACAGGTTTAGAAAATTGAACCGACTCCAGGACTATTTTGACTAGAAAGGCTGCTTAGGCACTTCAGACTCCTGTAGCTACCCATATGCAGGTACAAAAATGTAATTATCTCAGTCTTGATCTGAATCCCATCCCACCTCTGTCCACTTCTAAGTAAATTATTATCATTGACTACTCTGCACCCGTGTGACTTACATTTCTAGTACTGACATAAAAATGAAAAGCTACCGTTGAGAATTTTTAAAAGAAACACAGATTTAGAGTTTCAGCTCTTTTATCTTTGCTTATGATTGAATGAGAAACTTCGTAAAACTGAACTGTGATGGTATGTTTTCTAGATACAAGTCTAGAGTAGACTGGTCTGTAATTAAGGTAGTTATTAGCTTAGGAGATCCCCTGACACATATTACTAATTACTGCAGGGGAAATTGGCTGAAGTTCCCATATGCTATGCAGACCCATTCTAGCTTTTATAGAGCATTCCCTGGGCCATGCAATTCAACATTAAATGTTCCTGAACCTATTTCGTTATTGGATCTAGACTGACTCCTCTCAAAGCAACAGCAAAACCATTGTGGACAACTGTGTTATACCCTGTTATGTCACATTACAAGGCATGACACTGACCTGTTGGAGCAAGTTCAGAGGAGGATCACCAAGTTGATTAGGGGGATGGAGCACTTCCCCTGCAAGGAAAGATTGAGACAATTGGGTTTGTTCAGACTGGAAATGAAAAGGCTTTGGGGTGACTTAATTGGGATCTTCCAGTTCCTGAAGGAAGCCTATCAGAAGGATGGAGAGAGACTATTTACAAGGGTATGTAGTGATACGGCAAGGGAGAATGGCTTCAAATTGAGAGAAAGTAGGTTTAGATTAGATGTTAGAAAAAAATTCTTTGTTGTGAGGCACTGGAGCAGGTTGCCGAAAGGAATTGTGGATGCCCCATTTTTATGCTCCGGATTAAGCTATAAACTGCCCAGAGCGGTTACATTTTTATTTAAGAATTTTTAAAAGCCTTTTGGTTTGTTATAACCTCTAATTAGCATCTGGAGAAAGAGTCACACACTCTAAGAGAAATTCTTTTTAATTTAGTGAGACAAATAAGATATTTTGGCAAAAGGTTTTTACAGGAGTAAAACACAACCAAGAAAAAAGCATTTCACTGAAATATTCAGCACAAAGACCCATTCCACAGGAAACACCCACTAAAAACAATCCATATACTACCTTTAGTAAAACACAGTTCATTGGTTTTAAGTTACCCACAAGAGAAGGAAAAGAGTAAAAGAAAACAGATTAAAAGGAATAAAGAAAGAGAGAAGAAAGAGAGAAGGAGAGAGAGAAAGGAGAATAGTTATCGACAAGATTAGATGATTCGCATGGTGCCAGCTGGAGAGGGAGAGGAGAGAGGAGAGGGAGACCGCATGGAGTCTCGTGTATTTATAGAGTTCAGTTTTCTCTCCCAGGTAGGATATCCGGTCAGTGCCTTCCAGGCCAGAGTGAGTTGTGCTGTAGCAGTCACAGGCTGCAGGGGGGTGGTGTGGGTGGGCTACCAGGCAGGTCTGCCTTGACTGACAGCCCAGCTGCAGGGCCTGCAGCTCTGTTGTGTGCTCTGCGTGGGCTGCAGGCCTTGCCTTCAGCTCTGCCCTGTGCCCTCAGCGCAGGCCTGATGTGCAGGCCTTACCATGGACCCGCAGGTCCAGGTTCAGCCCTTCCCCACATGCACACACACTCAGCGAGTTGGTTCCGACCCATTTCAATAATTCAGTGAGATTCAGATCCAGGATCTCACACCCATCCCTGGAAGTGTTCAAGGCTAAGTTGGATGGGGCTCTGAGCATCCTGGTCTAGTGGAAGGTGCTCCTGCCCATGGCAGAGGGATTGGAACTAGATGATCTTACAAGGTTCTTTCCAACCCAAGCCATTCTATGATTCTATGATTCCATGATTACATGATACTGACCCTACTGTCTGCTGGGAAGTAGCATGACATGTGCCACAGCTTAGTGAAGAACTAAACCATAGGGTCCATGACCTACCCTGCATGAGGGACATGAGGAAACTCTGTAGCCACTAACATGGTGACAGCTGATGAGCAGAAATAGAAATGTGTGTATTTTTTGAGAAACGGAGGTACAGAGATCTCGGCTTTCATTGCAGAAGCACTAAGAACGGGATGCTGGCAATTATGTTCAATAAGTAGTTCGGGGAAACAAAAGCTTTGATTCCCTAGAAATTCCTAATGCTGGTCAGCACACAGTTCTGGGGCCAGCATACAGGTTGTCCATCTGACACCTGACATTATCACAGAAACAGTGTTAGACAAGGTCCCACACCCATATTACAAATGGACCCCTGCCACAAGTCCAATGGATGTGTGTGTACACAGGGAAATCTGGGGCTTGGCACAGGCTCTGGCTGGCACATAAGGGCAGAGGAGGTGTGCTCAGTGGGCTGATACTTCATCCCTCATCTCTTCCTCAGAAATTTCATCCTCTTGAACACTTGAGCAAAGTTTTGCCTTACTGTAATAAGCAGATATCTTCAGTGTTTTCTTCTTAGCCACTGCCAAGTGCTTTTAATACCATCTTTCTGTTTTAAGTGAGCTAAGGAGCATATTTAGCCCTAATCAAATAACTGCAGCTTTTCCAGGCACAGGAAAGCTAAAATTCAGTGATTTCAGGCCATCTACAGAAACATCAACAAAATCTGAATTTCTTATTATTGAAATTATTCATTTTATCTGAATGTCACTTCCACTTATGTTAGTTTTGATCTGATTGGGAAAGTGAGCAGCTATTGAGGCTATTAAGCAAACATTCCCTGAATCAAAACAATAGGCTAATTACTTCTAGACACATATAGGTTTTATTATGCATGAATTAGTTACTAATTCATCCATACTGCATTTTAATATTCAGCTAGCAAGCTCAGATTGGTTTTACAGAAACTTTTGTGTTTTCCCAAATTGAGACCTTTGCTACTTACTGAAGAGTTCTAAACAGTAAATAAATATTTAATGAGATCTTGGGGAAAACATTCTCTTTTAACTTGTTTAAAGAAAATAGTTTATTGAACAGCAGAGTAAAATCAAAGCTGAGCCATGTTCTCCTCAAACTCAGCCTGGAGCCTAGGAAAAAAAGAAAATGTTGCTTTAACACATAATGCAATTTGCTGGTGTCAGAAGTGAAAGGGCTGCCAGAGCCTCAAGCCAGTTAACTCCGATTGCTCCCCATTGCGAAGGGCATTTGATCATGGATCACTGGTGACTCACAGGATGCATGCAAAAGAAATGAGCCATGTCATGGTCTAACCCCACCCAGCAACCAAGCTCCACACAGCCACTCATTTACTCCCCCACCGGCAGGATCGAGAAGCAAATTAAGAAGGGTAAAAGCAAGAAAACTCATGGGTTGAGATAAAGCCAGTTTAATGAAGAAAGCAAAAGATGTGCACACAAGCAAAGAAAAAAACAAAAGATTAATTCACCACTTCCCAAGGGCAGGCAGGTATTCAGCCATGTCCAGGAGAGCAGGGACTCATCACACATAATGGACTTTGGAAGATGGATACCATCACTCCAAACATTCCCTCCCCTTTCTCCTCCTTCTTCCTCCCTTTTATATACTAAGCATGATGTCGTATGGCGGGGAATATCCCTTTGGTCAGTTTGGGTCATCTGTCCTGGTTGTGTCTCCTCCTAACCTCCCATACATCCTCAACTTCTCTGTCACTGTGGCAGTACAAAAAGCAGAAAAGTCCCTGGCTCTGTGCAAGCCCTGCTCAGCAATAACAAAAACATCTCTATATTATCAACCCTGTGTTCAGCACAAATCCAAAACACAGCCCCATACTAGCCATGGTGAAGACAATTAATTCTACCTCAGCCAAAACCAGCACAGCCATGTCTTTGACTAGGAGGAAGAGTAGGAGGATGGGGACAGGAGGTTAAGAGAAATCCTGTCTCTCTACATCTATGGGAGAAACCAGAGCTATGTGGCTGCAAAAATCAAAGTGAGAAGCTCAGTCTGGTGCAGTAGAGGAGTGGATGGCTAGGAGATAATTCCCATTTGCTTTTATTATAAAGATATTGTCTTCATTGTTACAGAAGAGCAGCTATAAATTTTCTTGCCATTGTCACATAGAAGCATGATAACAATGGTAAGGAGGAAATTATTAATAAACCCTGGCTTTTTGTAGGAAGTCAAACTCCTCAAGAATTCCTGCTGTAGCATCTTTGCTGGAAACAGTTAAATCCAGAAGTAGTTCAACAGCCATAGGAGGAAATGCAGGTCATGTCTTCAGGTACATCTGGTAACTCTCACCAGCAATAAAACACAGGAGACGACAGCACCCCGGGCCAGAGGAGAGCTGGGTCACACAAGTCCCTCTCAGCACTGCATGTGGAGACAGTTGAACTGCCTCTGCCATGCTGTGGGGCAGAAGCCCCCAGTGTGGGATTGGCAGTAGTGCTGATGTAGGGCATCCCATTCTCCTTTACCATGGGGACATGGGGATGGTTTTGCCCCAAAGCAGCCTTGTACATGTGACCTGCTCCATCTGCAAGACTGACCAACACATCGACTCCCATACTCCTCAGGTTCACTGTCTCTCGAAGGCTGTGCTTGCAGCAGTCATGGGACAATGGAGAACTGATTTGGACGTTTATTACAGGGGAAGAAGAATGAAATCTAATGAATCAAAATACAGAATTTAGGATACAACTTCTAACAACTTGACAAACCTGACAATGATTTTTTGTTCCTGTTATGGAGCCTTGAAGACCATTTATGTCATTATTCTTATATATATGCACAGATACTTAAGGATTTTCTGTATCAGAACTTCTCCCTTGAGGGCACAGTGCCATATGATGAGTCCTTCAGTGAAAGAGCCAGTTTATGAAGGTCCTGTGTAAATCTCTGCCATGGCATGCTGCCCATCCCTGTTTCAGAGGTTGCCTCATTGGTTACAGTGACACAGAATCTACGTGATCACACTGTAACTCACACCTTTGAAACTTTCTAGTTTTTCACAAGTGCTTTTGGGGGTAACATCACCTTGCAATAGTGGGTTGTGCAAAAACCAGATGCCCCTTAATGCAACCACCCAAATCCCAGGGATTTTGTGTATAATGAAATTTTAGCTCCTTCTGTCTAGCCAATGGTGAGAAACAGCACTTTGAGAAGGGATCCAGCCCTGTGTCTTTGGATGAGACAATCTCTGGAGATACCTGCTTCTCTCCAGCAGCATATTCAGAATGACTGCTGTGTGCTGATATCAGACCAAGGCTGGCTGAGATAATGTCCACTCAGATGCTTGTGGAGAGGGCACAGAGGGTGGAGCTGCATCCAGAAACAGACTGTGAGTCGTTTGGTCTGATGTGGGTATAACTTCTTCCTCAGGTGTTGTCGTGGGGATAACCCTGCTCAGCTTTGATGGCACAAATCTCAGCTGGAGGTCTATAGCCACAGAAGATCCTGACTGGAGCAGACAGTGGCCTGCAGCCTGTGCCTGGGAAAGAGGACCTCTGGCACTAAAGCAGCCCAGTCATACAATGTGGTGTAGCAGGTGAGTGTCTTACTGTGCTCTGAGGCAGTGCTGCCTCTGGGTGCCTCTCTTTCAGATGAAGGTTCACAAGAATAGGAGCATCTTCTCAGTGGAGAATGCCCAAGACTCGCAAATTGTTCCATATTACAACAAGGGAAAACATTTTGAAATTTCCCAAGTAAAAGAAAAGGACAAAATATATTTGGGATCAGTGGGAAAATATGTTCTAAATATATCACTTTGAATTTTATACTGCAGGAAAAATGCTACATACTTAATGGTGTCTGCTATTACAATGAACATTTTAATCTAGTAGTCTAGATTGCAGTCTAGCATCGTAATGCACTGATTAAATTGCAATGAAATGTTTTGGCTTCTCCTCATTGTAAGTTAGCTGTAATTAGAAAAATTGATTTGTTCCCATAAAACATACTTTCAATTAAACAGCATTTTTCATTGCAGGATCATTCTTTAAGAATTTTCAGGTAGCTTTACCTATGACAAGAAGGACGCATGGATTACAGATGCTGCTGGTCTGAATTTGTCTCCTTTATAAACATATTTCCTGCACCACACTGGATTTGCAGATAAATCTTTTTTCCCAGTATAAAATAAAGCAGAAAAAAAATTCAGATTAAGAGAGATTATTTTAATCTTAGAACTGTTAGAAAATAGATTGATGTGTTGTCAGAGTGAAAAAGAGACCCAGGGAGTGAAAGCTAAGGCTGAAAATGTCAGACTTAAAATAAATCTAGCCAGGCAAGTTGAATTTCAAATTGTTCCATAATGCTACCATGACACTCTGAGCAATAATTAAGTTCTCTATTGTTTGCATTCAGCAAAGAATCTTTTAATATCCTGCAATTTATCATTCTAAAACTGCATAGCAATATAATCCTCTCCATTCTAAATAGAGCTGTAATCGTTAAAGAAATGGTAAAATGCATTGGTAATTCACCCCAAACTGCTGGCATCATTATTCCTGGGACATGGTTTGGTGATTTTCAATAAGATATTGAGATTACTTCATTAAAAGGCAAAATCTGAAGAATTACTGAACAGTGAGCAGAACAGAGATGCTCAGGCCCCCTATGAGAAGGGTTGGGGTCTCTTTGGTCCTTTTCCTTTAAGCACAGGGTCAAGGTCTGTTCTTGGTTACACTGGTGGATGACTGTGTTTATTTTAGTGGGTTATCCCAAGAGCATGCTGGTATAGGTAGCAGCAAAACTGGGCCTGTGCAGCAGCACACAGACCAGCTGCATCTTCCTTGCCACTCATGGTTTGTGCAGTTTGGAGCTTGTTGCCCCAGCTGACTGCACAGGTGAGATCAGTGACTCTGTCATGCTGAGGAAGCAGGTGATATGGAGTCATCCTCACCCAAGTTTAGACATTCAAAGTTTTATATTTTAAATTTTTGGTTTGCCCCAAAGCTTACAACTTTCTTAGGTCTTAAAACTCCAATGTAAAGCTACAGCACTTCTTCAAAGAAGGCAA